ACATATGGCATTCAGTATTGTCACTTTATAATTATAGTAAAGCTACTCTTTACTAAACAAAGATTTTTTTAAAGTACAGTTTTTCTTTATAGTAAATTTTATCTAAAAATATTTTTGAAAAAGTCATACACAAGAAAAAATATTAGTGAACTATTTTTTACTACTATTTTAGTTTATTGAACATTTTTAGTAAATAATTTTACTGTTGGGTTTTTTTTATCTCTTCAGAGTTAGGTGATTTAAAAAAGAAAAGGGTCAAACCAATTAAAAAAAGCAAGACTATAAAATAAGTATGTCTGAAAACTTCAAGGCAGAGTATTTTGCTTCTTTTTAAAGAAACTCTTCTTGCCCTAGCTGGTCTGACTCAATGGATAGAGCGCCAGCTTCTGGACTGAAGGGTCCCGGATTTGATTCCGGTCGGAGCACATGCCCAGGTTGCGAGCTCAGTCCCCAATTCGGAGCATTCAGGAGGCAACCGATCAATTATTTTCTCTCATCAGTGATGTTTCTATCTCTCTTCCTCCCTCTCCTTTTCTTTCTGAAATCAATAAAAATATATTTTTTTTAAAAAGAAACTCTTTTTGCCGTAACCGGTTTGGCTCTGTGAATAGAGCGTCGGCCTGCGGACTGAAGGATTCCGGTCAAGGGCATGTACCTTCGTTGCGGGCACATCCCCAGTGGGGGGTGTGCAGGAGGCAGCTGATTGATGTTTCTCTCTCTCATTGATGTTTATAACTCTCTATCCCCCTCCCTTCCTCTCTGTAAAAAATCAATAAAATATATTAAAAAAATAAATAAATAAATAAAAAGAAACTCTTTTTGATACCCAATTCCTAAAATGCATGAATGATTTACCAAAGACCATTAAAAAAAATCACAAAAAGTTTAACAACTACATTCTAGATATTTGAGTTATACTGTTCTTATTTGCAAGAACAAATATCCTTTCTATTTTGGGTTAGGTTTTAACTAGAAAAAACTTTCAAATTATATGCAGAATATGCCCTGGCTGGTTTGGCTCACTGGTTAGAGTGTCAGCCTGCGAACCAAAGGGTTTGATTCCTGATCAAGGGAATGTTCCTTGGTTGCCAGCTTGATCCCCAGTCCCAGTTGGGGTGCATTCTGGAGGCAACCAATCTATGTGTCTCTCTCACGGTGATGTTCCTTCCTTTCTCTCTTTCTTTCTCTCTCTCTCTCTCTCTCTCTCTCTCTCTCTCTCTCTCTCTCTCT